CTAATAGTCTATCCCAATAGACTTACATTTTGACTACATTTTCAGTCAACACTTTTTGTTAATAAAATGAGGTTTCCCCCGTTACACTGAAAAAGTTCAATACAAAAAGCATATATGCAGGCATATATATGCACTTAGGTGTCTGCATAACCAAACAGCTTTTCCTCCAGAATGTTTCCTACATCTACTTTATTGTCTGATCTCTGTGATCTTAATCACTAGCAAACAGTTTTAACATTGTTTTCAATAACAAAATATTACTGAACCTACCTACCACATCAGCTGTGGTAGCATTCACTTAGAAAAACACCTGGTTTTCCTCTAAGAAGAGTTATACAGAGAGGTAGCTATACAGGCAGATATTTGCACAGATACAGATATACAAGCAGAAACTGGAAACACATACTGTCTAGAAGAAGGAAACTGATTTGGGACTCAGACCGAGTCAAATCTAACTTCTGACCCTGCTTTACTGTCCTATTTTCAGAAGATCATGTTCCTTTCTTATTTCATTCTCTGTATTTGCAAGACAGAGATAATGAGTTCTATTGTTGAACAGATATGTAATAGAAGAGCAAAGTACTTTTTGCCCTGACAAATTTCTACTATGATTGAGCTGGGACAAGTGATATGAGTCAAGACAGTATGGAGTTTAATTTATCCTGAAAATATCTGGGTTACTTTGTAAAACTACTCAGTTCACCAAAAATATTCACTTATGTAAATAAGGTTCTGCATTACAATGTATTAGCCAGTAAAATCTCTGCATTGGTTGAAGTAGGTGTCTTACAGGTTTCTGTTCAGCCCTTTGACCTCTGTGAAAAGTCACATTGTCGACTCATACCAAACTCCTGCAAGCAAGCAGCTAAATGGGCTAAAAGTCTGAGAACGCTCTACCAAGTACATACCAAGTGTGACTGGTTTGCTGTTGACGTATGCATCTATGTAGATCCTTCCATGTCAGAGAAGCTGCAGGGCCATTCTTCCCCACCTTTATGTCATTGTCAAGTCTCCCTTTCAATACAAGAAGAATAGAACAAGATCTTGGAAAAAAAAAACCAAAACATTTTGAAATTATATATTATTTGTCAAAAGATGCTACATCATAAGGCCCAATTCTGACTTCAGCCACCTCACCAAATTCTATCAGAAAAGGCTTTGAGGATGAGAATGATATTTTATGCTTCATATGCAAGACAGAAAACTGGGGCAGCAATGACTGTGCCATAGAGCTGAGGGAATAATTCAGAATTAATAATTTCTTTGCTGAATATAGCTTCCTTTCTTCCTTTTTGAACAGTTGTGAAAAAGCATCTTCCTTTCAACTGTGAGAGGCAATGGCACACTGGGTCACTTAAGGTGAGCAAGAGGCCATAATATACTTTGAACCTATGTAGCCTCCCTCCTTGCTGGAGTTCTCTGAGCACAAATCTTTGCATGATTACTCACCTCTTGATGTATAGTCATTTGTATTTGCTGATTTATGACCCCATCAGGCTAACATGTGGGCTATAGAGCACCTGAGGAAGTATGGCTCTTTCCTGACTACACCTGAGACCCAGAAGGCCTGGGTTTGGCTGTGCACAAAGCAGGGTGAGTCTCATACATACTACATGGTACAGCTCTGAACAAAAGGCTGAGATTAGTTTAAAATTTTATTCAAAATTATATTCAAAATAATACTATTTATTTATTCATTAACATTAGCCAAATTCTGTCTGGAAATATACTTGGTAATACTGTACTAAGCAGTTTACTAAAAGTATGGAATAACAGGAGACAGAGGAAACAGTTAAGATGAATTTGACTTTGAACTTTTATTATTTATCTGTAGTAACAAACAGAAATAGGTTTTTTTGTTTGATGCACTTTATCATCTTGCTCCAAAAGTGTGGCTTCATACATCTCCCATTCTACAAATATTTCTGCCCATGTTTGGTCATATTATAAAATAATTTTGGCTATGCATTAAGTTACGAATATATAAAATATTTGTAAGAACAGACTATATAGTAGATGATGATGTCATGTGACCATAACTGGAAAATAAGAGAGGGATATTACAGGTAAAGTATTGCAGCTAGCATATAAGCAGCAGTCACATTCTCTTTTTTTGTCCTCTGCAGGGCAGATCAGATCTTAGAACTAATAGCTTATTGTTCATTTTCAATAATTGCATATTATAACTTCAGGTATGACTTTTACTGGCATGATCCACTACTCAGTAACAATACATATTTTAAGCAGCCTCTCAGTAAATTAATTTCCTAGAATATTCCTGCAAAGTGGACATGAGTTACAATATTGCACTGCAAAATTCAATGGTTTATTTAAATAAATATTTGTAGATTTCACCTCTCTTTATCTGCTTAGCTATACACACCTACAAAAAGGGAGCTTATAGGTATTCCCTTTTTTGTGCATTCAAAAGTAAAGTTTAGTTTAGATTTTTTTAAGGGCTGAAAGTCTTCCTGGAAAAGGAATGGGGAGAAACACAAAACCATGAACTTTCTGAAACTCTTCTCTGTATACAAATTTAAATGCATATTTAAATTTTATATATATATATATATATATATATATACATGCATAGAATCATAGAATACCAGATTGGAAGGGAACTTAAGGATCATCTGGTCCAACCTTTCTTGGCACAGCTCAGACAAGATGGTCCAGCACCCTGTCCAGCCAAATCTTAAAAAGTGTCCAGTGTTGGGGTATCCACCACTTCCCTGAGGAGATTATTCCAGTGGCTGATTGTGTCCAATTAGAATGTCCCCAGGATTAACTTGTACCCATTCCCCCTTATCTTTTCCATGTGTCTCCTTGTAAAAAGGGAGTCTCCATCTTCTTTGTAGTGACCCTTTAAATACTGGAACATGATGATAAGGTCTCCCCCTTAAGCCTTCTCTTCTCAAGGCTGAACAAACCCCATTCTCTCAGCCTTTCCTCATATGACAGGCTTCCCAGTCCTTTGATCATCTTTGTGGCCCTTCTCTGGAATCTCTCCAGCCTGTCCACAGCAGGACCAAAACAGTATTTCATGTGTAGGTACATTGTGTATACAAATGTACACCAGCTAAAGAAATAGTAGAATTTTATTTAAATATCTGCATTAACTGCCTCATTCTAAAGAGTAAGTTCAGAATTTGGGGGGGAGACGTAGTTATGGAATGCCTGCAGTGAAGACAAAACTATTCTTCAGGTCTTCAAATATAAAGACATAATAAGATCACAGCAAACTCCCTACCAGAGCATTACAAAACTGAGACAGTGTCAAATGTTTATGGCAGTAATATGCACACTATTGTTCGGGCAGTGAAGCTCAGTAAAGCAACACCAAAAGGGTCAAATGAGAGTTTCATGTTTCATTTCATCACTGAGGTTATTTCTTTCATCTCCAGCTTGTATCTGCATACAGATTTGCATGACAACTCAGAAGCCCGAATAGAATGAACAATGTCTCTGATTGCCACTTCATCCTTAGGGACACTAGTGTGAACAGCATTAGATGACAATTCTTGCTGCTGATAAAAGGGAGTTTGCATAGCCAATTAGATAAACTAGGTGAGAATTTTTATTTCATGAAGGTAGTCCTCTTTCAGTGACTTTATTTGGATTATCAGAAGATATGCATCTTTCACATAACGTTACATTTTTTTCACAAAATGGGTGCATGGTATTGTTTCCTCCTGATATATATATATATATATATATATATATATATATATATAAAAAAAAAAGAACACAAATAT